CTGGTAACTACAACACTCAAATTGCCTTATTTAGACATTTACAATGCAATCGGGAGGTCTAAATCAATATATCAAAAGGTGCTCCTGTACAATTTATGGTTTCTAACATAATCACAACACTCCTGTTTATCTGAAAGCCTACAGAAGTATGTAAAGACCTCTCCATAAATGATAACTAATAGAGGTCAGAGCACATTAATAATGGGATGATCTCTCCCTGAGGTAGTACTTGAAAGACTGAATGGAAACCATCAAACACAGCACCTATCCCCGCTGAGCCCCCTAGCAACATTAAATACCAGGCAATAACTCAATCCTCAAAGTGACCTCTGCTTTTTGTCATATCAAGATAATCTCTGACCTTCATTTCTCTGCACCTCAAATATCTCTGAAAAGCTAAAATGTCAATTTCCCTGAGAAATTAGTACTTTACACTGGCAATGCTTTTATCTGAATGGGTAGAGTCTGTCTGTGTGTAACAGAGACACGGAGGAAGGAAGGCTGGAGCTGAGATTAAGGTCTGTACAACTAAGTGGTAACACAATGGCACTCGGCGGCTCAGCCTCCCATTTGAAGGGAGACGGAACCATCTGTGTGGCACAGGATCTGTTTCCAGGAGATAATGCCTTTTTTAATTTCACAAATACTGTACATGGAGAGAGAGAGAGAGAGAGAGAGAATATGAAAGACATGCCTTTCTTCCAAATCTATGCCTGCATGCTCCTCCACTGCAACACTTGTGGAGGCCTTAATAACTTCAGTCTGTGTACCTTTGTGCTTGTTTGCTCCCTGTGTGTGATAAAGGCCTCAGCATGGGGCAGAAGGAAAGGGAGGGATTCATTATATCAGGTAGCGATGGCGATATGAACTTCCCATTTTCACTGTTGGCCTGTCCATTTGACTTGATTAAATGGGAGCTCAGCACTGCTCTAGATTAGCCCAGCTGCTTCCTGTGTCAGACTGTGGTCTGAACACGCTTCCGAACATGAAGGAGAGTTGGGGTGGTGGGGGTTAGGGATTAAGGTGCTGTGAGGAGAGTGGCACAAAAAAAAAAAAGCGGGTCAACTGAAGGTCAGAGGTCAGTGGGCAAGGAGGAAGCAAAAGGTGAGGGGGGAGAACAGGAGGTGAATCAGGCACAAGACAAGGAAGGGAGGAGGAGGAGGAAGGGTTTTTGTTTTGGCTGTAGCTTTCTGCAGTTCAGCTATATGCAGTATACACATGAATTCACTGATGGTGTAACATTTGTTTGTAGCTTACATTCATGATAAATCATTTCTGTGCACTGGAAATGTGCCTGTCTTTTGAAATGCATAATTGAGGGTGTAATTTGTCAATGATGTACATACTGAAGTAATTTTAGTAAAATGAAGAGTCAATTCAACAAATTATTTCTAGAAATGCTCAAATGATAAGTTTGTACCCTTGAATATCACAGATGATTTAATTGGAGCATTTCACCTGCTCTGCATGTATTGAAATCTGGAGAAAAGACACCTGATAATTCTAGTGGATTATGACTAGCACTGAAGAAATTGTGAGTGTGTGTATGTTATTCTTGAGAATTTGAGTGAATATGTGCACATGTAGGGAAGAGAATGATATTTCACACACACATTTGGGGTTTTACTTTGCCTCCACCCTTTGCTCTGCTCCCACGCTGTGGCGTCAGCAGGCCGGCCATGCAGCGTGTGTGTTTCTCATTCTATCAGATGTTGAGAACCCGTACACTTCTCTGCTCTAGTCCCTGACATTCTTCATATCCCCAGAGAGGCTGGACAGCCTTGTCACAGTAATGTCGAACATATGCGGAACAGAGGACGGAGCAGGAGGTGGCCAGAAACACATTGGTCTTTTACACTATGTATTAGGATAGACAACATGTCACTTTTTCACTTGCTCACTTTCCTCATCTTTGTACAAAAGCAAATAAATTTACACCCTGATATCATGAAACTCACTTTAACTGAACAGTAAGAACACTATCTTTCTGATGTGCACATCAATGCTGCAAAAGACTGCTGTTAATTGGTCACCCTGAGCACAGAAATACCAACAAACTACCAAAAGTCAAATAACCTTCATAACTCTCTGTAACACTTCACTGTAATAACCATCCAAATTTAGTGTTTTTCATTTTTCGCTTCTGTCTTGAACACAAATTTTCATACACACAGTTAGAACACTATTAGCAACAATTATGGTGGTAGTTTTTTAGTACTTTAGCTATTTTTTTTACTATAAAAAACTGAAACTTTCACTCTTATTTTGCAATAGTCAAAACTAATCTTCTCATCCTGGAGGCAAAGCTATGTGACTCCAGCCAATATGAGAAAAAGTCCCTTGTTCTTGAATGACAGTTTGTCACAAAACATTAATTTGCTGCAATGTTAACATCGCTTGTGTTGTTACACATGCCAAAAGAAACTATGAACTGTACACACTTTCACATAAATCACTTTGTTTTGACTCGTGTTGTTTACTTTTTCTGTTAGGACAAAGTGTTATTAATCATTAATATCATTTATACACAGAGCCTTCTATTTAGACTCACACACAAACATAAAGCAAAATATGTGCACATGCTCTGTGTAACTTTGTGTCAATGCAAGAACTTGTGAACACACCAGAACAAAACTATTTACAATATAAAAGGTTTTCAGCTTGAAGGTTGTCATGAGTGCACACAGATGCTCCTTTTTATAAGGAATCGCATGATATCAGACACCAAATATAACAATACACGTATAGCTAGATACTGTAGGTTTGCTGACTAGAAAGCCATACACAGAGCCACACTTACACACACACACACACACACGCACACACGCACACACACAGAAGCAAATTCTTCGGCTTGTGTCACCCGCTTGGTTTGGTTTGTCTTGTTTGTGATGGCCCAGGTGTCCGTGTTGTGCTGACCACCTGACCGGCTTGCTGTGCGCTTGCAGCTCCCGCCCACCCAAGGCCATCTGCTCTACTCATTAATTAGGAGACAGCCCGTTTCACCTGCACTGCCCACATTTAGACATTTAGATCACAATAATTACCACACACACACAAAGCACATTCAACAAGCCCACACACTCATACAGAAAGGTACTCAGATCCTGCAGCATCAAGTCACAGCATAGCCAGAGTCTTTCCACCGGCACCAGATTACACACAGAGTTAGACTGAGATGATAAAAAACAATAATGACTTTCACATCTCCTACATTTTTACTGTCAGACGCCTGATTTAGAAATCACTGATACCACTTCTAGTTAAGCACTTGTAAGAGCACAAAAAGTATTGTGGCTTTCATACCTTGATAATAAAACATGGTGCTCCTAAAATAGCAGCAATAATTCACAGAGTAATAAAAGAAGAAAACAATAATCTCCATCATAAAGCAAAAGGAAGTAAATTGTTTTTTCTATTTGCTGTTAAATAGCAGAGACTCTATGCTGACTTTATGCTGGCATGTGGCTGTGTCGCATATTGATTCTTCAGACAAAAACAGGTTGTCTCACTTTCTTTTAATGTCCAGTGGTATGTTTCCTTCTTAATATAAAAGTGAAAGCATCCCATCCATGCACCTACGGTAGATGGAAACTGAGTAAACACCCAGTAGGCTGGGGTCATAATGAATGGCTTGCCTTTTAAGAGAGCTACTTAATGATGAAGTGGGGACATCTGCCTTAGCATCGCTGAGCTCGGCCTTTCCAGCGTCTGGAGGAAGAGATGCTTCCTTGGTGGTGATGGAGGTATAATGTGCGGTGAGGCAGGGTGTCTGCACTGCGGTTTCACCTCTGCAACCCCTCATCCATTGTTCAAAACTATTATCAACTGTTCAATTATTCAGATGATATTTACCAGGGCCAATTATATAGGGCCTTGTCCTGCAGAGAAAATGGCTTGAGTGTTTTACTGTTGCACTAACAGGCAGAAGAGTGCGCTGCTGAGGCTGTTCAAGTGGGGGCAGAAACGTTAGTGTGTCTTCTCAGGGGGTGACCCACAGTCACAAGGGTTGTTAGAAAGCATCCGCAATGATTTTAGCTTTTTGACTCACTTTTCAGTTGTGTTCCTATTCTTTGATTACCATATACTTTTTGTTAAACACTTCCTCTGCTACCACTACTGGAACAGCACTCACCAAAAAGGAATGTTTAAGGTTTTTTAACAAAAACGTGGACACTACTGATGCGCTATCATATAAAAGATGGACAGGGTATCTTAAGCGCCATGGAGTTCAGAATGGGTAAATTATCCCTTCACACCCATCACACCGCCATCCAGTCCAGGTGGACACCAAGTTCATAGAGACCAAAGATTTTGTGTCATCACTTTGTCTCAACATCACTTTGATGTGCAGCACAGACTGATGGGGCAAACATCTCACAACCCTCTCAGTCTCTCTCTCTCTCCCTCTGTCTCTCCCACATTTTGTTCACTACAACAAAGTAATAAAAAGAGCAGGCTAAATGAAAAGACTACCTGCTAATAATAATCATTTAAAAAAGTTCTTATTGACATTATTATAGACTCATTTTTTTCTGTCTTCTCTTTGATACAAGTGTACTGTGGTATATGACTGTTAATTGATTTTCATAAAATACACAGTTTTGCCTATATTTGATATCCCAAATTTAAAGACAATGTAATACAGTATGTAAAAGGATGAAACTAAAGTGGATAGAATTACAGAAAAAAAGGTTAATATAGCAGACAAAGCATTCTGAAGAATACAGAAAAGGCAGGTAAAGCACAGGTATCCTATTGTAGCCTGGTTTGTCTTCACTTTTAAGCAATATTAACACCTTAAGTCCAGTCTAACCCAGCTGCAAACATAATTACTTGGGCTAGCAGTATATGTAATATTGCACTTTAAATATAAACACTTCTTCCGTTGTAAAGGACTATCACAAATTGTGAGCATTTAAAAACAGTTCACACCACTAACAAATGAAATGTCTTGTATGACTTCCTTCAGTACAGTGTAGTTTGCAGGTTGTACTTACTTTGTGAAGCTCGAGGTCAAGCTGAGGTAACTGTAGCGGTGATAATCCACACCAAAATGGTTTGTCAAACAGATTTTATATCGTCTCAATCCTCATTATTTGGAAAAAACGGATCGCCTAACGCCTTTGCTTAATAGTAACCTCAGCAAAACTATTCAGGTGTTATTACCTTTTTTGTTTTAGAAATACTGGGAGGAAGCAGGGGCAGACGCCACAGTCTAACACAAAAGCAAATGTTTAACTTTCCTTTGGGAGTTCTAAAAGGGATCTTGACTTTCCAGGGTTCATAAATTATGAGGTATTTCTCTTTTCAGTTATACCAAAAACGGAAGAAAAGGAATTAAAACCAGGGCTTTTGGATCCTTAAGCACATCGATGTCTTTGGTTTTTTGGGGTTTCTTTTTTTAAAGCAAAGGGCTTCAGTTGTTGACGATGATGTGAAAAATCACAACTTCTCCCAGTCATGGAAATTTCGCCTTCTTGCTCATTTTAACCTCCTCGATAAAAGAAATGAAAAACAATTGTTTTAACTGCAGAAAACGTCCTTTCTGTTCGTTTTGAAGCTGACAAAAAACTATTAACCTGTTTTGCGTAATGTATGTCCACAAATCCTCTTGTCTCCCGTGTTAAAACACAAATGACTAAGATGCGGATCTTCTTGTCAGCAGGGTGCGTCTGTTATGGCTCCTGTGACAACTTTAAACCCGTCTTCTTCACTTCACAGTTCAGCCACAGTCTGTAGTGTTGGGGACACGTCCTTACACATCCGATGAGACCAGTTCCCCTCCCTTTGATTTAAAAACAGTTTCTTTACAGCCTACGATCGGCCACCCTACTCTCACTGCTCTCTGTACGATCCCGGTCCTCCTCTGACGCGCGGATCGTCCGCCGAGCTGTCTTCAGGTAGTGTTAGAAAAGATTCACTTCTCCCACAGAAAATCACAACAGCCGAGCATGTTTCAAGGTTTCCTTATCCGTGAAATTTTACAATTAGTGGTTTTCAGACTTGTTTTGTTTTCACCAATGAGTAGAGCTGGTGGGTCCACTGTACGCAGTAACGACTGCTCTCTCCTCCTCCTCCTCTCTCTCTGTCCTCGCTGTAGCCTTCTGTCTGCGTTTAAACACCATCTGGAGCTCCTAACCTCTCTCTCTCTCTCTCTCTCTCCCTCCCTCCCTCTCTCTCCCTCTCTCGGGTACCATAAGAGGCAAGAGTAGACAGCTATTATGCAGGAATCCTTTCTAAATGGAAGAAGATCCAGTTTGAAGAGTAAAAAATCTCATATTGGTACAAAATTATTCACATCATCAGAGACTAATTTAATGCACTACATTACAGAACGATATCTCTGTAGATTATAGTCGGTGATTATGGATAAAAAAAATGTTTATTTCTTCAAACAAAGTGCTTAGAAAAAATAGGCTAATACAAATTTTAGGACTGCAGACCGTATCTTGCAAAGTGTAGCCTAGAACTAATTTTATCGTGTCTAGTTATTTCAGACACCAAGCCAGTCTGAGTGAAATTCAGCCGTTGCTGTCCCGTTGTTTGCCCTTAGGGGCCGCTGTTTCCTTATATCAGGACGACGAGCACAACAAGGAAAGCGAACCCGAGTCCACAACACTGCACAGTTTGTTTACTTTATTTAACACGAAATACAAGAACAACTTTCTGAGAGCTCAGTGGATCCAAAAGCATGTCTCTGCCTGCATGTGAGGACAGAGCAGTGCCTAATGCGCAGCTTGCAAAACTGATTACATTTAGCTTTTGTCAGGTGGGTGGACTAATCTATGGGCGTTACAGTTTGTTTAGTAAATAGTACTATTATAACTGTGATTAATGCTTTATTATTCTGCATATACTATGCTTGTATGTTAGCCTACTTGTTTTAATTAGTACACGATACTGTTGTCCCACTGTGGTACATCTTATCTGTACAGACATTTTCATGTTATTATTGCTGCATTTTTGGATCCTGATTTAATGTTATAACCTTTTATTTGTTTTAAGACATCAAATCAAAGACACACTGACTTATTAGTTATATTTTGTTGATTAACTAATGAATCGTTTAGCACAAGGCCACCTTCAAATTGTTTTATTTTCTTGACCAAGAAACCAAAAGGTATTGAATTAAGAAGATCCTTTTTTTTTTTGAAAGGCTGAAATCAGTGACTGGTTTGACATTTTCTCTTCATCAAAATCCTAAACAATTAATAGAGGATGAAAATTATTCCAGATGAATTTTCTGTCAGTTATTTAATTTATAAACTCACTCATTTCAGGTCTACTACAGCTGAAAGTAGACTTTTGGCTGACCTTGGTGCAGATACAGTAATACTTCTTAATGTGCACTACCACTAAATAAATAAACAACTATAATATATATTAGATAGGCAGTCAGAAATATACATGTACAGAGACAGAGAAAAGGCAGGTACATCTGGTTTGTTTATTGTGAGAATCCCCCACCTGTCTGTTAGTTCATTTGGCCTACCCACCTGTCCTCTTTGGCACTGGCAGACACACACACACACACACACACACACACACACACATAGCCATGTAGGGGGACAGAAGACAAAGCTGACACCCTCCTGACCTCTTCTGTGTCTACAGAACAAACAGAACCTGCTTGTAAAGTACACACAGACAGCTGCTCTGCCCCAGCTCCAGTCTCACCAGCCTTGCCAGCCCGAACACAAACGCTGCCTTCATACGGAACTGGGGGGACTTTTGAACAACGCTCCAGAGCTGATTAAATAATGTAACCAAGCATGCAAGGGGAAACCCCAGTGCTCGCTGATGGAAACATAACAGCCTTCCACATGGCCCATGAGAAGAAACAGGTAGTCTAGTGCCAGTCCTTTTGTTCAAGCCACAATATGCCAATTTACTTTAAAGCTGCTTCTGTAAATATGGTCAAACACACACACACACACACACACACACACACACACACACAGTGAAATACACCAGAATTACAGACATAAACAAATGCTCAAGCCATTACAAGCTAAGTCTGTCAGAAGCAGAGTGTGTAGTGTACCATGGTGTACCAAGTATGGTTGCCAAGGAGATGGATGGAGAGTTTATGAAACTCACTCTCTATATTTCTCTGTGTCTCCTTCAGAGTTATGGCCCTAGGTGGCTCTGTATACATACACCAGTGTGTGTGTGTGTCTTTGGTATGTTACTGTAGGTGGTTTATTTCTTTCCTGTACAGAATACTGAAAAGGGAAGGGGTGTGTGTGTGTGTGTCTGTGTGGTCTTGAGTGACAGAAAGGTTGGCGATGGGGGTTGCATCCAAAGAAAGGATTCCTGTCAAGGTGACAGCTCCAAGACTGACAGAATGCTATTCTCCTCGGGAAAGGTGTCAGTCAACCTGTCAGCCTCGCTGTACAACAGCCTCTCACTCGTCTTAATTTGGCCTTTTGTTGAGCGGTCACTGGGTTAGCTCCGACACTCCATGTGGCCAACCTGATAAACTGCACAATGAGACGCACACACAAGGTGGGAGCTCGCTGCTCTCTGTGCCATAATACTGCAACTGGAAGTCCCTTTGATGACATTAATGACAAAAACAGCTTTGTCTCCTCTTTTTTCACTCCTCTATTGCTCTGTCACCTCACAAACACACCCCTACCCTGCTCTGGACTTTATTATGGCGACTCCATGATGGTTGAACATTATCTGAATTTGGGGAACAAGGTTGAGTCATTTTCCTGGCATGGAAATGACTATTTCTGTGTGTGCATGTTTGTGTGCATGTCAGAGTAAAAGCAATAGAGAAAGAGAGAAGTTTGCAGCATTTCCTCCACTCACACATTGTAAATCCTTTCCTATAGTGGCAGTCACAGGCTAGTGTGTTGAAAGGAGATAAGGGCCTGAGCCGACTGAAAGGAACGCTAAACCCATTGTGTTCCTGAGCTCTTCTCTCTATCTTCTCCTCTCTCATGCACCTTAAACAGACAATACTCATAGAGTTGCCATTAAAGACACAAATTTAGGTTCCAAGGAGTCAGGAAAGACTTTATCTTATGTGATCAAAACAGAATAAAATATGTAACTGAGTTGTGTAGCGCTGATTGAAGCGCTGATAGAAGTGATTGGGATGTGTGTTGAGAAATTTCCCATTGAGTGCCATGAATCCTCCCTGAATATGTTTTGTCATTTTAACACTGTTTTCTCTGATAGTCTGCTTAAAAGGATGTTGTTCTCTCACTTTGTATGTTAACATCTTTAATGTGTGCATGTCCTCAAGCTACTCCATTATGTTACAAAAGAGGATGATATAAAGAGAGAGTGAGAGAGAGACTGTAATACGATGTGGTGTAACGGATCATTGACCCACCCACTCAAGCACGTACGCTGGAATGCTGCTTTTACAAATTGCACCCATAGACCCCCTGACATTTTGTTTGCAATCAAGCAGCAAAGTGTTGGTTGTTTGAATCATCCAGACATGGTGGGAATTCAAAATTCTCTTTGGAAAGAATAATGTCCTTTGAAATATTTGACTTCCAGGGTTGTTTCAGCCACTAAGCAACTCTAACAAGAGCACTACACATTACATTAGCATTGTTATTCCAGTATGTCTGACCGTTTTTCTGTTTTATGTACCTTTCTGATTTTTTATTCAATTTGATTTTTGCAGATATCCAAGTATTTGCAATGCCTAAATCTTATTTCACTTGACTTAGATATCTCATATGCTTGAGGGCTAAACTTTCTTCTGCTGTTATTACATGAGTGATAATAGGACCAAAATACATTGAAACTATAAATATTTTTTTAATTTTGCATACAGTATATATTCATATGTCTACTACCAACAAGTAATTAGAAAATAGGAAGCAAAAGGTATCTGGAGGAGGATTTTAGGATGACAAATGTGCGTGTGTTTGGACACAGTAAATCATCTACATGTATACTGTAGATGCAGGCGCAGTGAAGGTATGCATCTTTGTGTTTTCTATAGACGGACTGCCAGGCTGAGTAAGAGCACTGAGTACAGTGTCCCAGTTGAGCAACAGAAGTGCAAACTGATAAATGAGGAAGTGACACCTGTTTAAGTCAAGTGGTGACTCAAGAACAGGATAGGTAGACCGAGCGCAGAGGGAAACAGGCAGTGAAAAGTCCACAGTATACAGGTGAACACACCGCCATACATTCACATGAGAAAGTCACTGCTATATATGACTGGGTTTCCCCAGAGACAATATGTGTGTGCGCTTATGTGTCTGTGTGTGAATGTGTGTTTGTGAGTGTGCAGACAGTTGGTGGTGCTGGCACTGGAGATAGTGAGTGGAGGGGATGAGGCACTGTATCAAGTTGTGAACATCTGTTCCTCATAGAAACCACAAAGCTGGTGCTGAGGAAATAGAGAGGATAACTGTTCTCCCTCCCTCCCTTATGAACGCAAACACACAAGCACACATTCTCATCATGACCTTGCTTCTTCTCCCACACATGCCCATCACGTTTTTCCTTTCAGTATTTACTCATTTTTCTCCCTCTTTTTGTATTGTCATCGATATTTCTCTTTTTACTCATATTTGATCTTTGCCACATTAATTTTCATCTATAGGTACTATATATTCATACAAGATATGATATAATCATTAAGCAATGGAACAATGAAAATGTGGGCGTTACATTTTAAAACAGTTTGTATGGCAAAAGTGTAAATTGTCATCGCAAAACATAGACTTTTTTGTACCATCACTCTGGTTGTGATAACACTGTTCATTAGCTTAATTGCTGACATATGGTGACATGGCAAAAGTGTAAGACAAGCCACTTTTGTAGAAGGAGGGGGGGGGAAAGATGAACTCATCCACAGAGGTGTATGCGTGCACAGTAAACTACAGCAAATATGGCAGCTATTCCAGCCAAATTCACAAAATACATTTATGTATGACTCATTGCACGAACAGGTCTTTGGAGACCTGGATAACAAAGTCAATGGTACATCACAAGGTGTTATCCAGATAGGGGAAGTTATGTAGTTATATAAAAGTTATTGGTGATGACATGCTTCATTTTGTGAGAGAAAACTATGAAGAATAGCCTAT